TGAATTCTCGGGTGTTGATCTCCTTCCAGGAGGTCCACTTATCGACTTAGAATACGCAGATGACATAGTCCTGTTTGGTGAAGACGCTGACAAAATACAGAGTCTTCTGGTAGCACTAAGCAACAATGCCAGGATGTTTGGGATGCGCTTCTCTCCCTCTAAATGCAAGTTGTTGCTTCAGGACTGGTCTGGGTCAACACCTGAACTAAGGATAGGGAGTGAAGTAGTCGAACGCGTTGACAACCTCACTTATCTTGGAAGTGTGATCAGCCCTAATGGGTTGGTGTCTGACGAAATCTCAGCACGGATTCGAAAAGCTCGTTTGGCTTTTGCCAACTTACGTCACCTTTGGCGAAGGCGAGATATCCGTCTATCAATAAAAAGACGAGTATACTGCGCGGCAGTTCGTTCTGTTTTAATTTACGGTAGCGAAACATGCCCCTTAAGAGTAGAAGACACCCGTAAGCTACTAGTATTTGACCACAGATGCCTTAGAAATATTGCTGGCATCTGCTGGGTTCACCGGGTAAGTAATAGTGAGGTTAGACGCAGGGTATTAGGTAATGATGGTAAATCAGTTGATGAGGTTATGAATCTCCATCGACTGAGATGGTTGGGCCACGTATTACGTATGCCTGAACACCGATTACTACGACGTGCAATGCTAACCGGGGTAGGGGATGGTTGGAAGAAAGTTAGGGGCGGCCAAACCAAAACGTGGCATCAGTGCCTGAAGTCACTAACTTCTAATCTGAGCCATGTTGGTAGATGCAGACTACTTGGTTGGGGTCCGCGTGACTTTCGTAACCAATGGTTGGAGACTCTTGGTGACATGGCTCAGAATCGATCACAATGGCGTCGGTGTATACACTCTCTGTCTTCGCTTAAACTAAGAGACTAAAATCACTTCATTCTTTCAGTTTACGAACTAATTTTTTCTTCCTATACTATATCCTTATTGCAACCTTTGACCTAACCACTCCTATGAATCCGCTGTTCATCTTGCTGTGCTAATGAAGTATGGCAACCTGGACCGATGCACATATGTGCCTGGTCCTACGTTGTAGCTGACTGACTGACTGACTGACTGACTGAGTCCGAATGTTTACATCAATGATTCGGCTTTGTAAGCACTTGTCAGCCAATTACACTGTATGATTGTACATCATTCATCCACTAAGATTCTATTCATCGTTTCAACTAGAGGCATCCATTATCATCATTATAAAACCCAGAGGGCTCTATTTTGCTCAACCAGAAAACGATACTTTTAATAGTATTCTGTCAAAAAGCATTATCTTAATCCAGAAAAATTCCGTCTCTAATGGATTTTATTTATTTTAAAAATTCTTTTCACCCTGAAAAATACAGTGTAGTATTGAATTCTAATTACTAAACGATGTTCTAAATATTTATTTCCTATGAAAAGAAGATACAGGGCGTCAAGGATATTGCTTTTACTTTACTTACTTACACCTGTTATTCCGCGTGAAGGAGCATAGGTCGCTCACCAGCATTCTCCATCCAACCCTGTCCTGGGCAATCCTTTCCAGCTCCTTCCAGTTGTAATTCATCCTTTTCATATCTGCTTCTATTATCCGACGTAATGTGTTCTTTGGCCTTCCTCTTTTCCGCTTCCCTTCAGGATTCCAAGTTAGAGCTTACCTCGTGATGCAGTTTGACGATTTGCGTAATGTATGTCCTATCCATTTCCATCGTCTTTTCCTAATTTCCTCTTCAGCTGGAAGTTGGTTTGTTCTCTCCCACAGAAGGCTATTGCTGATGGTATCCGGCCAATGGATGTTGAGTATCTTGCGTAGACAGCTATTTATAAATACTTGTACTTTCTTGATTGTGGTTGTTGTAGTTCTCCAAGTTTCAGCTCCATACAGTAGAATTGCCTTGACGTTCGTATTGAAGATTCTTACTTTGATATTGGTTGAAAGTTGTTTTGAGTTCCATATGTTCTTCAATTGTAGGAATGTGGCCCTTGCTTTGCCAATCCTCGCCTTTACGTCTGCATCTGAACCTCCTTGTCTATCGACGATGCTTCCCAGATATGTGAAGGATTCTACATCTTCCAGAGTTTCGCCATCAAGGGTGATTGGATTGCTGTTCTCCGCTTTGAATTTGAGGACCTTGGTTTTCCCTTTGTGTATACTGAGGCCTACTGATGCAGAGACTGCTGCTACATTGGCTGTCTTTATCTGAATCTGTTCACGTGTACGTGATAGGAGGGCTAGGTCATCTGCGAAGTCCAGATCGTCTAATTGGTTCTGAGCTGTCCATTGTATTCGGTGTTTTCCTTCAGATGTCGAGGTCTTCATAATCCAGTCGACCACCAGAAGAAAGAGGAAGGGAGAGAGTAAACAGCCTTGTCTGACTCCGGTCCTTACTTGGAATGCATCTGTCAGCTGTCCTCCATGCACTACTTTGCACTGTAGTCCGTCGTATGAGTTCCGGATAATATTGACAATCTTCTCAGGAACTCCGTAGTGTCGAAGAAGTTTCCATAATGTCCTCCTATCTACACTGTCGAATGCCTTTTCATAATCAATGAGGTTGATGTATAGTGACGAGTTCCACTCAACCGATTGTTCGACGATGATCCGTAGTGTTGCAATTTGGTCTGTGCACGACCGATCCTTTCGGAATCCAGCTTGTTGATCTCGAAGTTGGGCATCTACTGCATCCTTCATCCGGTTCAGCAACACTCTGTTGAAGACTTTCCCTGGTATTGACAGTAGTGTAATGCCTCTGTAGTTTTCACATTTGCTCAGATCTCCTTTCTTTGGAATCTTGATGAGGTGTCCTTCTTTCCAGTCCATTGGCACTTGTTCCTACTCCCAAATCTTTTTGAATAGAGGGTAAAGCATGCTTGTGGTTACTTCGACGTCTGATTTCAGTGCTTCAGCTGGTATGTTGTCGGGTCCTGCTGCTTTCCCGTTCTTGATTTGTCTGACGGCCATTCTAATTTCTTCCGTCGTTGGTGGGTTGACATCTATAGGAAGATCTGTGTGTGCTGCTTCGATGTTCGGTGGATTCATTGGAGCCGGCCTATTCAGGAGTTCCTCGAAGTATTCTACCCATCTGTTTCGCTGTTGTTGAATTTCAGTGATTGGCTTGCCTTCTTTGTCTTTGACAGGCCTCTCTGGTTTACTGTATTTCCCTGATAGTTTCTTCGTTGTATCGTAAAGCTGTTTCATATTTCCTCTAGCAGCTTTTTCTGCCGTCGTTGCTAATTCTTCCACGTATTTCTTCCTATCGGCTCTAATGCTCCTCTTCACTTGCTTGTTTGCTTCTATGTATTCAGCTTGTGCTTGGACTTTCTCTGCTCGTGTTCGGCTGTTGTTAATTGCTGTCTTCTTGTTCTTCCTTTCTTTGATCTTGTCCAGTGTTTCTATAGAGATCCATTCCTTATGATGGTGTTTCTTTAGGCCCAGAACCTCTTGACACGTTGAAGTCAATGTTTCTTTGATGCCTTTCCAGTTGTCCTCCATGGTAGTTTCTTCTTCCTTCAGTAGAGCTTGAAAGGCTTGGAACCTGTTGTTGAGAGCTATCTTGAATTCATTGAGTTTGTCAGTATCTCGAAGGAAGGCTGTATTGAACCTTTGTAGTGCTGTTTGTCCACTTGTCCAGTACTTTTTTAGCTTCAGTTTTAAATTGGCTACAACTAGGTGGTGATCTGAAGCTACGTCAGCTCCTCTCCTGGTTCCCACATCTTCCATTGTCCTTCGGAATTTTTTGTTGATGCAAATATGGTCTATCTGGTTCTCTGTAGTGTGGTCCGGTGAGATCCATGTAGCCTTGTGTATACGTTTGTGTGGAAATATTGTGCCTCCTATGACTAATTTGTTGAATGCACACAAATTTGCAAATCTTTCTCCATTTTCGTTCCTCTCTCCCAGTCCATGTCGTCCCATAATATCTTCATATCCAGTGTTGTCTATTCCGACCTTGGCATTTAGATCTCCCATCAGAATGGTGAGGTCCTTTCTTGAGCATTTCTCTATGATTGACTGCAGCCGCTCGTAGAATTGATCTTTAATGTCGTCGTTGCTATCATTGGTGGGTGCATAACATTGGATAATATTCATTAAGATCCCCTCCTTCTTTGTTTTGAATGATGCTTTGATGATTCTGGATCCGTGGGATTCCCATCCTACAAGTGCAGTTCGTGCTACTTTGGACAGCATTAGAGCAACTCCCTGAGTGTGTGGAGCATTTTCCTCTTCGTGACCGGAGTATAGCAGCATCTCTCCCGTAGCTAGCCTTTTCTGTCCAGCTTGGGTCCAGTGGGTTTCGCTGATTCCCAGTACTGCCAAGTTGTATCTCCTCATTTCCGTTGCTATTTGGCTGGTCTTCCCGGTTTCCCACATTGTTCGAACGTTCCATGTACCTATAAAAATTTTTGCTCTGGTTGTTAGAAGGGGCATCGGCCTCGTGGCTTCCGAAGGAATTCGGCTTTCACCATGAAGCGTCATAATTCTTCTAAATGAAGACCTTCTAACTCTCAGGGCAGAGTTAAAATGGTTTGAATTATTTTTCCTGATAAGCGTTTTTTTAGCGATTTAGTTTTCTACGGGATGGGGACGCTAACCCCATGACCAACCCTCCTCCTTTACCTGGGCTTGGGACCGGCAGTAACTCTAGAAGAGCTACAGGCGGAGTTGTCAAGGATATTGTGCAGAAGTAAATTCCCTGTGCAAGTCAAGAGCATATTTCAAATCTATTATTACCACAGATCGATACTCTATTGGAAATTGAGGAGTATTAGGAAGTCAACTTATCATTTAAACCTCTTCTACACAACAGATTAGTAGCATGAAATATTAAAATGCATGAAAATAGAAAAAAAAACGATCCCGAAGTAACATCTGATTTTTTAAAGTTTCTTCCCGGTGGGATGAACTTCAAGTGAAGACTGGCATTAAATTCATTAAATATCACTAAATGGAACCAAATCATAATAGACTTCTGATATATTAAAATATTCTTACGTTTAGGACACTTCATATTAACTTCAAGTTTCATGTAAGTCGACATTAAAGTCGAATATTCACCAGGAATAATAAAACGACAATAATAAAGTCCAGAATCATTTTGAGTCAATGGTCCATATCTATATTTAAATGTTTTGTGATCTCGATCGTAAGTTTGATTCTGGAAATTAATAATTTGATCAATTAAAGTGATAATCAATAAAGTAAATTACTGACAATAAATAAATAGATCTTGTAAACTGTGATATAATTTACAATGCCTGTAAATTTAAGATGTACATGAATGCAAATAGTTGAATAATATTCAATTAGAAAATATATGACTATAGAAAACATTCTGATCATCATCTGAATGGACCAATTGCAAAGTGCTAATTAATAACAGATACTCTGTCAACTTCATTCTACCACTTGGAATATTGTAATTGAAATTACCCTTTTTGTACTCACGTTGTAACGTAGTTCTTTGATAAGGCACTAAAACCAAGGAGCTTAGGATTATCAATACAACTCAAGAAACTGCTACTTATTTTATCTGGTAACTTGGAAACTTTTTCCCATCTTATGATAAACAACTTAGCTAACTTGATCACGTTCACGAACTAATCCTTTCTTCCTGTACTATATCCTTATTGTAACCTCTGAATTAACTACTTTTATGAATCCGGTGTCCTTCATGTTGTGTTAATGTGGTATGGCAACTTGGACCGATGCATATATGTGCCTTATTTATTTATTTGGACACATGAATATTGGTACAAGAGAGCACCAATATATATGCGCCACACAAAACAATGAAAATTCGAAGAGAAGTACAAAAAAAAAGCTAAGGAGCGCAACAAAAAAAAGAGAGAACAATAACGAAGAGATTGGTGTAAGGTAATGTGCTAGTAATCAGGGAACGCAAAGGTACAATCGGAAGAAATCTTTCAGGTAGGGGAGACAGAACCACTTTTTATGAAGAAAGTAAAAGAAGGTTACAGCAGGATCGCCACTGGCTTCTATTCTGAGCCATATCTGATAACGTCTCTAGCCACTGTGTAGCACCATCTCTCAGACCCCAACCAGGGAGTCGTGAAGAACCAACACAAGCCAGTCCTTTGCAGCTTTCTTTCATGCCACGACACCATGTCATGCACTGACCACCTCTCCGCTTCTTCCAACCAGTCCCAGAGTCAGCAAATAATGCACGACGTGGACTTCTCTGGGACGACATTCGGAGAACATGTCCAAGCCACCGAAGTCGGTGTTTCAAGATGGTGACACAAATTGCATTGTCGTCTGTGCCCGAACACACGATGCCGAACCTCTGCATTACTGACATGATGTTGCCACTGGATGTCAGCAATCCTTCGGAGACAGCGATGATCGAACACAGAGAGTCGTCTAACGTCCTCAACTCGGAGAGACCAGGTTTCACAAGCATAGAGCAAAACTGCTCTCACCGACGCGTTGTAGATCCGACCTTTTACGGCCAGACTAACATCACGAAGGCGCCAAAGATGGCCCAGATTGGCATAAGCCGCTCTGGCTTTCACTATACGTGCATTGATCTCATCACTCACACCCCCACCAGCACTTATGCAGCTACCCAGATACACGAACTTCTCGACTACGTCTATCTGCTCACCATCCAGGCTGAGTACAGGATTGGAATCCTGCCAGTCTTGTAGGAGTACTTTGCACTTCGAAGGTGCAAAGCACATACCATACCTACGGACACTGATTGCCAACTGATTAAGTGCGGATTGCATACCTTGGGCATTATCGCACAGTAAGACAGTATCGTCCGCATACTCAAGGTCAAGAAGTCTTTCTCCAGGCAACAGATCCACACCACCATTACTTACATTCATCAGAGCTGTTTCCAGAATGTCGTCGATGGCAAAGTTGAAGAGGAATGGTGAGATTGGGCAACCCTGCCTAACCCCACTGCTCGAATGGAACAATGGAGAGAGGTGGTTGTATGCCCTCACTCTGCCTGAGGTGTTTGTATATAGGGCTTTTAGGATGTTAATAAACTTCTCAGGCACATGCTTCTTCAATAGACAATCCCAGAGAACAGTCCTGTCCAACGAATCGAAGGCAACCCTAATGTCAAGAAACATTACGATTGTTGGCCTTTGATAAGTATGGCGGTGTTCTAACATTTGGCGGAGGGTGAAGATATGATCAATACATCCTCGACCAGAACGAAACCCAGCCTGCTCCTCACGAGTCAATCTTTCTCGGGTTTTGAACAACCTACGAAGTATGACGGAAGCCAATAGCTTGGACGCAATATGTGCCTGGTCCTACATTGTAGCTAGCTGACTGACTGAATACTAAGTTTACACTAGTATAGTAGTATGTAGACACAAAAATACAGTTTCACGTTGACAAGCGTGGAAACTACTGTATGTATCCAATGTATCAGACACAGCCTGCAAAGAATGTTTAACCGATCGTGATGCAAACCATATGCCAAGCACAAGATCACATACTTAGATCTGAACTGCACTTTGTGAGAATTAAAGATACTACTACACAGCTTCCTAAGCGAAATTAAACACAGCGGGGTTTGAACCCGATAGTTACAATGTGCACAAGATAATGTCGAGTAATTAGCAAATGTATGACTTATCAGACCGAATGAATAGAAACCAATCCAGCTCAGAGCAATAAACAAGCTCATATTCACATAACGGTAAGATGTATTCTATGCCTTTCAAAAGGGGAGAAAGCAGGATGAAACCGAATAACTAAAGGAAATAACTTAAGAGTGATCCATATCTCTTCCACTTTGCTCAGCTATTTTCCATCCTAATGGGCAGTTGATTGGAGGTCTATATCTTACACTTGTAGTAAGATATAATGTGTAAGATATAGTGATCCATATCAATATATAAAGGTTAGAAACTCTATATATACTAAAACATTTCAATGCAATAAATCATGAATATAATCACCTTGGTTATTGTATTCCGAAACTTTACCGTTATAGAAAAGATACCAGGTTATCAAAGGTGTGATCATCCGAAACATCCTTTTAGTAAGATAGAACCAAAACGGCTCCCACATATATTGAAACCTAACTTGTATTTGTCCTAGAATACGGAGACTATGTCTAATGTGGTACCATGAGAAGCAGAATATTAGTATTCTGGTTATTATTTCAAAATAGTTATTTCAAAGATAGTACTCTAGATTTTGAAACGTCATTTAACCTCATTAGAGAAATAAAACTAAAAATATTTACAGCGAATTATTTTACCAACGGAATATTTCAGTCACGAAAATACTGGTAGGATAAGACTATTCGATTGAACAAACGCTAAGGTTTTTACTAATATAATCATCTTAATGCCTTACATTAACTTGGTGCCCAACTACTGTGGAACTATTCATATGAAATGTTCCATACCTTACATCATAGTCAAAAGTACCAAACCAACGGTGTATTACGAAGAACTCTCCCAAAACAATATGAATAGTACTGAGACAATTTTCCTACGAAAGTCTTTATAAAATAATAGTTTTTTTCACATTGAAAAAGCCTTCAGTCTAGTGACTACGAAAGTAATTTACCGATAAGACGATAAAAATCACTGTGGAGACAAATGCCGATGATAACGGTTAAACGTTCTCGAAATTAAAGAGATTTTATAAATCAGTAAGCACATGTTAAAATTAAGACAATGAGACTGGAGTGTATTCAGTAGTTATTACTGTCTATTATGGTAGTTGTAGTTATTTCAGGAATGTAGAACCAGATTGGATTTTGTTCTCTGATAGACTCCATCATTAAGCCTAATATAATCACTTTACTTCATATCTATCAAAAACGTAATGAATACGAAAGAATTGTTTTCAAATATATACATAATTAACAAAAATAACTTCTTGTTACCGTTACCACATCGTGCTCCTTTCAGACAAGCGAGAAATTCGGGAAGTGAAAGCACATTTACAAACTGGGTAACTGCTCATTTTCAGACGTTGTTATCTGGACGTTAAGGAATTTAGATTTAAAAGTCCTACCTATTGATCACTACGTAGCTGTGGAATACAGTTTATGGCGGAGTGGTATACTTGCGTCAGCTTGTCAGGACGAAGAATATTGCATTTTCTTCATGATGAGTATTGGGTTTCCGAAGGTTATCTTACATGAGAACTAAAGTCAGTTTATTCAAGAATGGACTCTCCTATTAGCTATAGTAAGAAGGTAGCACTTGACAAGCACTTGATAAAATATAGTAGCTAGTACTGATTGTAAATTAAAATTATCAAGTGAATAAGACTCAATCTGTATTAACGTGGTACTCAGTAGTTTAAACATACAGATTACGCCTAGTACTACGCATTCTTAGTCTAAGGAAGTGTTTTAGGTAATCTGGTACCACACTCTAGATAATGTGTAACATATCAATAAGCCAATTTTATGACTGTTTGCTTGCATACAATAACGTACGGCCACTTACTTGAACCAAAACGCTAAATATTGGAAAGCGATTATAATAAGACGTAAGAATTCTCCTGACTGTGGAGCGTGACCAATACTGAAATCCCTCATATTTGTAACCAACTTATTTTCCTAATATTCCTAATGGTTAATTATTGCCTCGTTTCCAGCACATTAATGAGAAATAGGGATAACGTATTTTTCAATAATTTCACAGTCACTAAAGGATATAAGACCACAAACGTCAAAACACAAAAGGGTGCTCTAGTCTACTTATCATCAACAATGAAGCGAGACCGAAACCATGTGAATTGTTAGACGGTACGTAAGTATTGTTAATTTGAGACATGCTATAATTATAAAAAGAAAAAGAAATTAGTCACAGTTCCAACTTCCTTAATAGGTCAGATGCCATCTCAAAAATTATAACTTTGTGACAGGATTTGGCAACACTAGTTTACCTCAATAATTCGTCAATCTTGATGGTCGCCTGTTACTGTCATACTTGTAGATACTATGTGAGTAGTCATTAGCCTCTTATATTGTTGGCATCGCAGAGATAATTTTTTTTATTCAACTGTTACACATAAGCTTGAAGTGTTGTGATTACAACAAAAGAATTTAATGAGGAAATCCAGCCGTTTGGTGGATAATTCAAAGTAATTGGAAAAGCTTGAACCATCTTGACCTGGTAAAAGAATCCAGGTCATTATCGTGCTTCATGTTCCCGTGTTTGAGGAAACCTCTTATTGATTTCACTATTTATTAGAATAAAGACTATTTCCAGGTCTCTAGAAACCAAATCCCAAAATTTTGAATCGAAAAACACTATTAATCCTGAAATTAATTAAAGTGAACCATAATGGTGATATATATTTTAATAGACTAGATACTCCCAACACTTCTTCACATCAGGTACTTACCCATTTATGAACTCCGTGTTCTTCGAAAATCTCTCTTAGAGACCATATGACCAAATTGGGATAGGGATCCTTTTTGAAAATTTCTGCCACCTCTTTCTCTCGGGCACTCAAATTAGCAGGGATAAATTCATTTTCCAGCTTGTAAATCCCCAATACTCCATCAGCTAAATATTCACTGAGTTCACAGTTAAATAAATAGTGATCTCCCTCACAAACTACATCGTCATGATTGAACCGGAAAACATCGGGTCTGAATAGAGTGCAGAAAGCAGATGTAATGTAAAACAACTTGAAGAGTGAACGAATAGGAAGAAACGGGTGCATTTCAAATAATCTTGTGTGCATAACAGCAATGAGCTCATCAGCTAGGACAAAAATGAAAACAAGATAGAACATGATTTGTGGACGCTTTATGACTAATCTGATTAGACAGTCACACAAGTAGTTTAATCCTCCTTACAAGGTCACCAAAATGTAGCCAAATAGAAACGGAAATGCAAAATTGTATTTTTGATCAGTCGTGTAATTCCACCTTTATTTCTGGTTTCTCTATTTTAATTGGTTAAAATATTATTTGGGTCAGAGGATGAGAATAAGAACAGTAAATCCGTCAAGGCTATTGGCTATTAAAGTTTGTGGGTTTGTGAACCTACTCTTTTACTACCAAATGTTTAGAATTAAATTCACCTTTGTGGTCAAGTTTAACTCGACTACAAAAACTGTGGGACAAAATTCACCTATAAATCTCGGGTTGGTTTATGCGTTTCAGAAAATTTATTATTCTTACGTGATATTTACCAACTGATATAGAGAAGCATGTAATTTGAGTAAGCCACTTGGTTAAGTATGTCTTGAGAATAGTTATGCGACAATTCGTGCAACCTGGGCATATTTATAGACTGATGTATCTCAATGTGACTTTTAACAATTGGTTAATTTCCATTAGTGAAAATTTAAAAAAAAAACAGTCGACATTGAGATGGTAAAGGTTTGTAGCTCAGGTGGAGTTTTGTTCTCGGAGCTGGATGGTTTGGTCGTGAAGCTTTCATCGTTATTCTGAACATCATCGGAGTTAGACCAATTAATTCAAAAAGCACAATTTTAGCAAACGCATACAACATTTACCAATTTTCCTCACCGCCTTAACGATAATATCACAAATGAAGTCAAGACATTTCTTCTTTGAAAATCCAAAATTATTTCTTTTAATATTTTTGTGACTGTATGACGCCACAAAGTTGATATTACCCATAAAACTGCTGTCGAATTATTCATTAGTTTTAAAAATATCAGTTCACTTTAAATCTTTCTAATTGTTATCTCTGAACAAATGTTTCTATTTCGATATTAACCATTTTGATGCAATTTTTTTCTCAGGAGAAAAATGGTTTCACTTTCAGTGAATTCAGTCTGTTCCACATTGATGTGAATAATGAGTGCGGTTTATTTGAAATTTGTTCTCCATTTACATTGTTTCAATGAATAAGTTATTTTTTCACTAATCCTCTTTTGCATAGCGAAATTCAACCGAAGTAATTATTGTTGTAGAAAGCACGGAATACAATGGACCGTTCGGAATCGATTAGAAGATTTGGACTTCGCAGATGACATGGCCCATCTATAACCGTACACATGAACAAATAAAGATGAAGACAACTAGTCTAGCAGAAGCCTCTGCATCATGAGCCCTCAACATAGACAAGGGAAAAAGCAAGATCCTCAAATACAGTACGAAGAACATCAACACAATCACACTTCATGGACAAGCTCTGGAAGATGTGGAATCTTTCACGTACCTGGGGAGCATCATCGATGAACAAGGAAGATCTGATGCAGACGTAAACGCAAGGATCGCCAAAGCAAGAGCCTCATTCCTGCAATTGAAGAAGATATGGAACTCAAAACAAATGTCAACCAATATCAAAGTGAGTATCTTCAATACGGACGTCAAAATAGTCCTACTGTACGGAGCTGAAACTTGGAGAACTACTACAACCATCATCAAAAAGGTACAAGTATTTATAAACAGTTGTCTACTCAAGATACTCAATGTTCGTTGGTCGGATACAGTCAGCAACAGCCTACTGTGGGAGAGGACAAACCATCTTCCATCTGAACGGGAAATTAGGAGAAGACGTTGGAAGTGGATAGGACATACATTATGGAAATCACCAATCTGCACCACAAGGCAAGCCCTAATTTGGAATCCTGAAGGGGAAGGCCTAAGGACACAATACGTCAGAACTTGGGAGCAGACAGGAAATGGATGAATAGCAACTGGAAAGAATTGCCCAGGACAGAGTTGGATGTGGAATGTTGGTGAGCGGTCTGTGCTCCTCCACAAGGTTTAACAAGAGTAATTAAATAAGTAATTATTGTTATGTCGATATGTATATGCCCGTAAAAAGAGGAAGAAATGACTAAATGTGATTTTGTTTTACTAATAACCAATTTTATTGTTGTTTTTGTTTCATTCAGCTGAATATATGTACGATCAATTTTCAGTTAGAATATTTTATTCTTTACATAGATTTGTTCTGTACACAAATTTAAATTCTGGCTCCTTCATTAAAATATCCAAAATGAATTAGACATTTTTGTTTTTATTCAAAACAGGAATGGGATTCAGTTTCAGTAACATTTTCTCACCCAACTTCTTACGTGTATTTAGTGGAGCGTTAAACAATAAGTTCTCGTAACTAATTAAATGAGTGCATAGTATTAAAAAAAAACATCATGACCGTCGCTCACTATGTTTATCTTTCTATCTAATAAATGTTGTTAAAATGTTATGTGTTGTTTGCCACTTTTATAAAAACGTAGTGGCCTATGCACAAATGACTGCTTTTACCAATCAGTATATATTTCAGTAGAACTCGATCTATTTCGATTTTAAATCAACAACATTCTTTGAAAAATTAATTAGTTAGATGAGTAGAAACCCTTCAACTGCAGTGTTTTCGTCATCTTTGTGAGATGGTAAAAAAGATTTGTAGCTCAGGTGGATGATTTTGATGGAGTTTTGTTCTCTGAGCTGGATGGGAGATACAATCAAAATAAAGAAGTTAACAATGTCAGGTTAAAGGTTAGCAATAACCAATCAAGATTGAGGTCTACAGGACAATCTGTGAGCCATATGAGGAGAAATTCGAACAATTCACTGGTGATGTCGTCCAGAATAACGACGAAATCCCTACAATCAAACCATCCAGCTCAGAGAACAAAACTCCACCAAAAGTCGACATTTGACAACCAACATTTCATAATTACGAAACTCGTGATTTCATAGTGGTTAAACACCCTAGCTGTTTACCGCTTTTCCTTTCGTCCCGTCAATTCATTTATTTAATTTGATGATGTAACTGTTCAGTGAATTAAATTAGCATTAAAACTCTGAGGTGAAGCCAATATGAAATTCGAAAAATTCCTTTACTATTCATTAATTTGATATGAATACAAATTCATCGTTTAATATGGTTATGTGTATTTGGATCAAATAATATAATTTTATTGTCTGCTAAATTTTCAACTGTCTTAATTCCCTAACCTCTATTCCCCATATGAAGCTATTTGTATATTTACATCAGTCAGAAAGTATGCTCAACTTTAAAAAAGAATAAACTAGTGCACTGTGTGGAATATAGTATATTGATCCGTTTAAAAGTAGACCCCTTTATTTATTGTATACTCAACCATCAGGCGAATTCAGTTGCTACAATGCATGAAAATGCATCAAGGCCATTTTTCTTTTCCCATAATAAATTGATACATACGATGAGAAATTAAAACAATAATGAATACTTGGGTTAAAATAGTAATAAATGATCTGAGTTTTACTAATTTCCAATCGTTCGAGTGTTTGTAAAAAAGGTTACGAGGGAATTCATACTTATCTTCAGTCAGTTGAACTAGAAACATGACTATCGGAAGTTGCTCATGTTCATCAAGATGTGTAGTGTGGCGTCGAGTCGCGGTTCACTATGATCACCACTACAGGAAGACTACGTGCCAGTTAACCGATAAGATCCATCCGTAGTCCAAATATCAGAAGGCAGTTGGTGGCTGTAGTTGAGATGTATTTGTTAACGATCTCATGATATCAAAAGAATACCGAGATCGTGCCAGGTTAAAAGTGTGATTACTGAGCGTAACCGAATTCGTGCAAGGTCACAATCAACGGAAGAAAGTATGCCTTTAGTACAGTCAAACAAACAAGTACAGTAAAACAATCATTGGTACAATTGGTTATAATAATAATTGTTTCCATTAAACCAATCGCGTTCTCTTGATAAAGTTAGGTCACTACAGATGATGACTAAGTATTCGTCCCATACTAGGATCAAACGGTCGTCCTGTGCTTCCAGGTTTTCAATGGTGGTCTAATATTTATCCATTCATGATATCAATTTAAATCTTTTCACTGCATGATAAAAGTTCACTAAATGAATCACTGCATTCTGAAAACAATCTCGCAAAGCGGATTAAATGTTCTGCTTTCAGTCAAATGCAGTACAGTATAAAAGGTGATGTGAAATTTTAATACTGAACAAATGTGCTATCAAGACCACTTTAACCTTCCATGTGAGAAAGTTCTCTATCAAGTTATAGGAGCTTCTATTTCATCGCACACCCAATTTAATTTATCCTAACTTTTGGATCGACAAATTAATCTCATCTTTCCATTTATCTTATTGCTCACATATGATCCCGCCAACTACACAAACTTAAGCTTGATCATGCATTTTACGGGTATGATAGTACGTTTGTGTCGGTGTATTTACTTGTATTTTTCTCGTGTTTATAAACATTGTCACTTAGAGTTGTTTATTTCTGCCTTTCCTGTTTACATGCAATTTCTTCGTATCTTATCGTTCGACTGCATTACTGAATGTCTGAAATATAGACACCTCAAATACTTTTGTACTCGACTTTTTATATCTACGTTATTATTAACGGGATTTATCGACGGAATACGTGTGAAGTGTGTAGGACACATATTTCATTAGCATCAATACGATTGGATCATAATGAAGTCAGACCATGAGCATTTTAAAGTCAAATAGTTTGTGGATGGTGTGACTGTTATAACCTTGATGTCTGACCTTTCTACCACGCGAATTATCCACCAATCAGAATACGACTTATACAAATCTTCACTCTATGCCAACCAATGACGTTCAACCGGCGCCTGGCTGGTACGAGGTCCCTCTAGCCCGTCTGCTTGAGTCCAAATAAAACGCAATACTAGCTTCCGCAATATGAATATATGTATTTCAAACATACTCTGTTCATATACCAATCAGCCAGACCACAACGTACCATAAAATAGGAAATAGCATGTGTACACAAACAAGCCAAAAAGTGGCTATGAACGCGGGAGATAGTAATTAATAGACTGAACATAGATTAAGAACCGTAAATCGTATAATAATAAATTATAGGTCAAAATAAAGCTTATAATTAAGGGAGTATAAATACATATAATGCAATTATTAAATAATTACACAATAAGAATATTTATATAATATTAGTATATTAACAGTCCTCGGAAGTTACCTGTAACTTAATCTTCACTGGGTTATAACAGTGACAGTACTTAAATGCCTTAAACTACTGACACACTATTTTTCAGACTGTGCTGAATAGGGAATCAAAAAGATAATTAGAGAAATATATTTAGATGCAGGCTTATTCCAGAATGGAAAGCAAATAAGCCAATGAGAGATTCGAAGTGGGCAGGAAGTTGAGAAATAATCATTAATCGACAGTCAAATAAACAGAAGTACATTTTCAATAGAAAAATTAAATATTTAAATGTTCAGAAAAGACGAATATCTAATAGTTTCAAACCATTTAATTAATAGTTTAGCCAACTTTTGTTTACAGATACGATTGTAACTTCAAATATCAATTTTCCAGTCTTATAATAAGTCCCAAAGTTGACCCACATTAACTACAGTTAATACAAACACAAAGCTTTTGCCTCAAGCATAGGATTGATTAACTATAACTATTCAGTATCAAGATATCGGGTATGTACCTACTGGTTCTTGAGTGACCTAGTGAAATGGGGAGATTTCGGTCACTGAGCCTATGATAAATATTTTTAGATGTAATCTACTCTTAATACTTCATGACCGATGTTTAAGAAACTTCGTCTGCATCGTAGCTGACATTCATACCATCCAGCCATCAACGTCCTGAAATCTTCGGTATTCAACCTATACTACTTGTTTGTAACCAGTAGTTACAAATATTTTCCATATTTTGCGTATGAACAAATTTGAATTGGTGATGACGTTGACTCAAAATTTAAGGATGGGGATTCGATTCATGAAAAGGCAGAAGGGTCATGTTTTACTCTCAGGTATCAAGTTAATGAAAAAGTATACAACGATCTAACAAAGAAACATGCACATCTGGAGATGGTACAAATCAAATCAATACTGAAAATAAGTAAACTACTCCACTGAACAAAGCAATGAAACATGACCTATTAACTGAAACTGAAGTTTATTTCAGAAAATATCTCTATTTCTAAAATTCGATTTCTTTAATCCTTGGTTGGTTATGTTCTATATCATAATTTAAAGGGAAATACCATGAAATTCTTTTTTATTTATGAACATGTTTAGTGACAAATGTATTAGTAAACTGTAGTTATTATTTCATTGATATTAGTTGATTAACACTAAAAAAGTCCTCATCTCTCTAAAATATTTCTTATTCATAGATGTGTTGCAGCATTTCCAATTGGTTGAATGAAAACAATTTCTGAGATTTATTTCAAATAAACACTCGATTTATAGTTATAATTAATTTCCAATTACAATGAAAGCGATTAGACCAAAATCTACATACATATGAAATGTTCATATGGATCAGTTCATACGATGACAACTTTTGTGTGAGATATTAGAGCTGATAAATGTAAGATTAATTTGATGATGTCAATCCGATTTAGAACTTATCAGATGAATGAACCTGTATCTGTATATTTAATGGGACCAAAATCTAATACTTATGGCTGAAAACACTAGGCTGATATATGCCACGCTAGTAAGTCGGGATAGCTGTCAGTTATTTAGCCTTACAAGAGCTTGTACTTCAGCGATGTCGACATTCAGGAACGAATTAAAGATTCAGACACACAGGTTTATAAAATGATGATGAACACAGAAAAAGGATGAAATATGTACTTTGAATTTTAGTGTTACCTATTGTCGAATATAAATTTTCAGAAGGGGTTTTGTGGATATTTTAGTAATTTCAATAGTTGAAATCATGAGTCAATTGAAGCTAGACCACCATGGAAAACCTGGGAGCACTGGACGGCCGCTCCACCCTAGTATGGGACTCCTCAGCACTGCACATCCACGACCCCGCCCTCCGCGAGATTCGGACCCAGGACCTATCAGTCTTGCGTTCGAGCGCTTAACCATGAGACCACTGAGCCAACATTTATTGGTGTTAATGTCTAACTCCTAACAACTAGGTTGAAACGGCCGTCCAGTGGGAGAGGACAAACCATCTTCCATCTGAACGGGAAATTAGGAGAAGACGTTGGAAGTGGATAGGACATACATTATGGAAATCACCAATCTGCACCACAAGGCAAGCCCTAATTTGGAATCCTGAAGGGGAAGGCCTAAGAACACAATACGTCAGAACTTGGGAGCAGACAGGAAATGGATGAATAGCAACTGGAAAGAATTTCCCAGGACAGAGTTGGATGGAGAATGTTGGTGAGCGGCCTGTGCTCCTCCCCAAGGTTTAACAAGCGTAACTAAGTAAGGTTAGAAAGTTTAACTCCTGTAACACGTTTAAAACCTTACACTATCAACTTATTGTTCCAATTATCAGATTGTCATAATCGCAAACTCGTTTTATTTCTGATTGTTGTCAGTTGCCTTTGTTTTTTAATGTAAGTGCATGCTATGTGCTTGTTGAGTCGTCGGCAAACATTTCCTCTTGTTCTTTTTTCTTCCAGATAATTTCACTTACTGCTCCTGACACTCCTCCAGCACAGAAGGTATCTTCAGACAATACGCGAACCTACCGTAGGCTAACGTTACACCCCTTTCTATGATTTTTAAATTTTTGTTATTCTATTGACATGAAAACCACTACAAATTCCTTTATTATTTCTAAAATATCGACTAGAATTTGGTGTCAATTACATATAACAGTAAATTAGTCGTTTCGTTCTGTGACCCAGTAACACTGTTCAAAATACTCAGTGATACTTTTAACAAAAACGAAACAAAAGAGATGGAAAAATGTTTAGACAAATGTGAAATGTAATTTTTTTATTTATATAAATAAACACATCACTATTGGAATGATAAAAAATGAAATCAATTGGTTAATATATTATCTGTATGTAGTAAAGTTGGTTTATCCCCTTTTCAGATGTTAACATAACTATATTATTTACTCTTCATAATTATTATTATTCCGATTGCTGTCAGCATTTTCAGGATGAGCATCTTCAAATAAATCACTGACGTAATTGTATGGATAACGTATTTCAATTGGTAAGGCTAAGTAATCTCTATATGAAAGAATGTTTTTTCGTTGAGGAAGTTGTGGACAGTTACTAGCATTATTATTATTATTATTATTATTATTATTATTATTATTATTATTATTATTATTATTTAAAGTTAAGGAGATTGAACCTAGATCTTGCATTGAATTAAACAGTTCGTATGATAGTTGATATTGGTTATCTTGAATAGTTGAATTGTACTGAAGTTTACTTGAACGCGTTTTCAATCTTTTCAAATGTTGAACACACTGAAAATGTTGTAAAATATACCATTTTTAAATCGTCCATTGATTAATTTTATTAAATAAATTAATCATTACAGTTGAATGAATGTTAAACTTTGATTAGAGACTCTTTCATCAATTAACACAAGTTTGATTTATTCATAGATGTAAATCCTTTAAGTCTATGATGTGTTATTCTGTGTTAACATATACAGAACAACATATTACATAGAGAATGGAAGGTTTGCTGGGTGTTAACAAATAGTTAAACAACTGAATAAATTACAAGTCAATTAACAGGACAGAAAATAATAAACGATTTAATTATTCTTGAGTAAATAATATGGAGTTTATAGACTTGTACATTCATGACGACCTGAATGAGTGCTTTAAGGACTCAACGCTGACTGAGTTCTATTCGGCAATAAAACAGAGTAAGATTCACAGAATGTCCAGTTTACGAGTTGAATCACATTTATGAAGTACCTGTTTGATGTATGAACTTCAAATAGTTCAGATTCAGATCTCAATTCACAGATGTAAGTCAAGATAGATTCAGTATTATGCCTCATAATAAGTAAAATAATTTCAGATAACAATGCACTAGTAAGAAATTACGCACAGCTGCACATATTGATAAAATGGTATTGCTTATGCTAATCATTGTGTTAGTTTCTGCTATAACTTGCGGCCTTCTGTCCTATTAATATATAACGTAGTGATGCCGCCAATTAGGGAACAGTGACTTGTCGACCGGACCAATGACACAAGAACCCGTATGAGCAGTCTAGAGTCCTTATCGGTCCTTCTCCCTGCCTAGCCCTGTTTGTTGAGTCTAGAACACAAATATCAGCCTCCGCGATATGAATCATGTATTTCAAACATACTGGGTTTATATACAAACCAAACAGACTACATCACATAAAATAGAAAACAACATTTGTACAAGATCTAGGAAAAAGTGGCTGTGAATGTTGGAAACTGTAATTGATAGACTAGACATAATTCAAGAACGGTAAATCGTATAATAATAGTCTGTGGGTCAAAATAAAGCTTATAATACGAGGAACATGAATATGCATAGTTTCGTCATCTAACAATGATACGATAAAAAAATACATGTATAATATTAGTCCATAAATAGATCTTAACAGTTAACATTCATTATTCTCGTCGGAATATATCAGTTTCATTGATAACTGATGTATTTCAATATCCTAAATAAAAATATATGTATCAATAGCTTGCTTGATGTAATAGATGAGTCCCTGTGACTCTTTAATAGAAAAACCTGCCCAACTACTGTTTCCCACTTCATCGAATAATAATTGAAATCTCACACAAATAAACACCATTCTGGATAGCTCATACAAGAATTTCTCCAATCCTAATGTACTTGATTAAATGACATTCACAATATTATTTTCATTTCAATCACCACCACCCTGCCAAGTGAATATAAATTTATTTAGGCAGCTAAAGAGAATTTCGAAAATAAATCATAATGAATTTACTCCATTACCTTTATTACGATGACTTCATCTAAGTTACTGCCACATAAAAAAGAAACTGAATCACTTTACAATAAAAAAAATTAAGCAGCACACGATCGATTGATTTGTGTTCAATGAATGCAACAGGCTTTAAAAGTAAAGGTGTAAAGTAGTCTTAGTAACAGAAATGAACAATAAGAACTAATTACTTACAATTTAGTAAGTTTAATTTTGTTCATCTCTTTGTAGTCATAAAACGTTTCGGTGTAATAAAATTATTTTTGACAATAATCTAGGAAAATCATGCTAAAACTATGCTGCCAAAACTATTTCAGTTAAAGTAAGTTGTCATTTCATCTTATATACAATATACTACTCACTGATGAACAATATATTTGTTGTGAGATGCTTCAAGGTTTTCAGTGGTTGTCTAAATTTGATTGATTCGTAATCTCATTAATATCTAACAATCTGCACAATCCACAAACTGATAATCATCATATGCTTTTTTAGCGGCTAACTTCGATAGAAAATTCCGGAGTTCAAGTGAGAAATGTTGACCAGGGAAGCCCAACTATGTTAGACACGAAGAAGGTACCCACCGAGGACAATGGGAGATGGTCGCGCAATACACAGCATTGATTAGAGTTAGAATTGTACACGATGTAGATGTTAAGCATTTTGGAGCGAGACCGAAGGCCCTGGGCTCGACTTCAAGTTGTAGGGCTGTGAATCTACACGGTTGGGTAGTCCCATAACAGGATAAAACAACTGTCCAGAGCTGCCATGCTTTCAATGATTCATCATATCAATAGCATTGAACAATCTCCACAAAACTCATACTTTTAATTGTCAAATACGTAAATATTTATCGATAAGTTCGAACTTATTATCTTGTACGAAGTAGATGTAAAGAGACAGTATCAAACTACAATGAATTCATTGTATACAACAAACATAATCGCGTTAATTTTTGCAGTAATTTTTGTGAAGAGAACCAACTGCAACAAAAATATTGTCATTTATCATTTAGAATGATGCTAATGAGCTGGAAGCAGCAGCTGCATCTGGTAACTACCGGAAGCTCTTCCAGCTCATTCGAGCCACCGGAAGCAAAATGTCTGGTGTGAGCAAAACAATCTGCGAGGATGACGGAATGCCAATCACTAACATCCATCGACGTCTTGGACGATGGACAGAATTATTCGAAGGGCAGTTCAACTTACCTGCTGCTCCGGCAACATCGGTCGAACTGTCCTGCCCTCCATGGCCGGTGACGACTGATCCACCAAATGAGGCGGGAGTCCGCAAGGAACTCCAACTCTTGAAGCGCTACAAATCACCTGGCCCAGATGACTTACCTCCGGCTCTTTTTAAAGATGGTGGTGACTTTCTGACTAAGGAACTGACGACGTTGTTTACAAAGGTTTGGGAACTAGAGAGTGTACCAACGTCATGGAATGAGTCGATAGTTGTCCCTATCTTTAAAAAGGGTTCACGTCGTCCCTGTAACAACTATCGGGGGATAAGTCTACTTCCGATTGCGTCCAAGCTATTGGCTTCGTCATACTTCGTAGGTTGTTCAAAACCCGAGAAAGATTGACTCGTGAGGAGCAGGCTGGGTTTCGTTCTGATCGAGGATGTATTGATCATATCTTCACCCACCGCCAAATGTCAGACCACCGGCATACTTTTCAAAGGCCAACAATCGTAATGTTTCTTGACATTAGGGTTGCCTTCGATTCGTTGGACAGGACTGTTCTCTGGGATTGTCTATTGAAGAAGCATGTGCCTGAGAAGTTTATTAACATCCTAAAAGCCCTATATACAAACACCTCAGGCAGAGTGAGGGCATACAACCACCTCTCTCCATTGTTCCATTCGAGCAGTGGGGTTAGGCAGGGTTGCCCAATCTCACCATTCCTCTTCAACTTTGCCATCGACGACATTCTGGAAACAGCTCTGATGGATGTAAGTAATGGTGGTGTGGATCTGTTGCCTGAAGAAAGGCTTCTCGACCTTGAGTATGCGGACGATACTGTCTTACTGTGCGATAATGCCCAAGGCATGCAATCCGCACTTAATCAGTTGGCAATCAGTGTCCGTAGGTATGGTATGTGCTTTGCACCTTCGAAGTGCAAAGTACTTCTACAAGACTGGCAGGATTCCAATCCTGTACTCAGCCTGGATGGTGAGCAGATAGACGTAGTCGAGAAGTTCGTGTATCTGGGTAGCTGCATAAGTGCTGGTGGGGGTGTGAGTGATGAGATCAATGCACGTATAGTGAAAGCCAGAGCGGCTTATGCCAATCTGGGCCATCTTTGGCGCCTTCGTGATGTTAGTCTGGCCGTAAAAGGTCGGATCTACAACGCGTCGGTGAGAGCAGTTTTGCTCTATGCTTGTGAAACCTGGCCTCTCCGAGTTGAGGACGTTAGACGACTCTCTGTGTTCGATCATCGCTGTCTCCGAAGGATTGCTGACATCCAGTGGCAACATCATGTCAGTAATGCAGAGGTTCGGCATCGTGTGTTCGGGCACAGACGACAATGCAATTTGTGTCACCATCTTGAAACACCGACTTCGGTGGCTTGGACATGTTCTCCGAATGTCGTCCCAGAGAAGTCCACGTCGTGCATTATTTGCCGACTCTGGGACTGGTTGGAAGAAGCGGAGAGGTGGTCAGTGCATGACATGGTGTCGTGGCATGAAAGAAAGCTGCAAAGGACTGGCTTGTGTTGGTTCTTCACGACTCCCTGGTTGGGGTCTGAGAGATGGTGCTACACAGTGGCTAGAGACGTTATCAGATATGGCTCAGAATAGAAGCCAGTGGCGATCCTGCTGTAACCTTCTTTTACTTTCTTCATAAAAAGTGGTTCTGTCTCCCCTACCTGAAAGATTTCTTCCGATTGTACCTTTGCGTTCCCTGATTACTAGCACATTACCTTACACCAATCTCTTCGTTATTGTTCTCTCTTTTTTTTGTTGCGCTCCTTAGCTTTTTTTGTACTTCTCTTCGAATTTTCATTGTTTTGTGTGGCGCATATATATTGGCGCTCTCTTGTACCAATATTCATGTGTTCAAATAAATTATTAATTAACATAAATTATCAAGATTTTCACCTGATGTAAGAATAAAACTCCAATAATAGTCGGGATAGAATATAGAAAACTGTTATTAAACATAAAACACATTGCACTTTAACATGTTGCCAGAGAAGGAAAAATGTAATGCTTATTTAGACACTTATTAATTGAAAAGATATTCCTACCAGTAAAAAATTGAGATTAATAAATGAAACATACTCTTCTTGCTTGTATAGACTTTCTACATGCATCTGGACGCACTCTACGCACCGGTTCTTTATAATCTTCGAGAGAAGTGATCAGTTCAACATCCGTTGAATTTCCAATTAGATTAACTTTACAATTTTCCATATTGCATGATTATTTCTTACAAAATTATCATGAATTCTGTTGTTCTGTGAGATTAGAATTTGGTGAAAAAGAACAACGTTAACGAGCAGATATTAATTCAGTATTGTAAAAATAAGAACTTTGGTCTGGTAGTGAAATGATGGTAGTTCAGTCAAAATAGTTTAGTAGTAACGATAAAGCTCAGGGTGCCCAATAATGTGTAGTAAATCTTAGGAAAAAACAACACTTTAAGTATCAGTACACTCCCTCAGTTTCCGCAACCCTACACCGATCAATGTGGGAGAACCATAATAAATGTTTAGACATCTGATTATTTGTAAGTATATCGATATTATACAAAGAGAATCTGAAAAACGGATTGAGATAGGATTACAAGCCCCTGAACAAAAATTATTGCTCTAAGATGAGTGTAAACGAAATTGTGATTAGTTGCACTTTAACGGTACGTGATTAGTCTAAACATAACTAGACTAGACCTCATAATTTCATCGCATCGTACTAATATGATTTGGCAACTTCGGCCACGGTTTACATTGACAATGACGGACTGGTGAGTGATGAAATCTAAGAATGGATATACTAAACTCACTTGACTTCTGTTAACCTTAGTCACCTGTAGAACAAGAAAAAAATCATTTTTCAGTCGGTAAATTGAACATTTATAGAGTATCATCTGGTTGATTTATTTTCGTGTTAAGGTGACATTTGTACCAATGTCCGGTAGAGACAGGTTGATTGCTATTTATGAACGGTTGAACGTAAACTTCAAACAAAACTTACCATACAAAGTAACTTTTAATTGTTATTGTTTTTGAAATGTGTTTAATATTACAGTCCACATAAACGATCCTATCCAAAAGAATGAGGGAAACACTGCAAATGAGCATGAGCAAATCATACTAAATGAATAATCATTTCGAATTTTATTGAACGGGACAAAACCTAACAAGCTATAGTTTGCTTTTAATTTCTTACTAACTGCTTGACTAGATAACATCAAACCGGTTCAAGCTAAAAACGATTTAGGACACCGACCTGCCGTTCAAAATAAAATAGTCGATATATGTTCGAGTGTACAGAAAATCGACGGTCAAGGGTTAAGTATTTAAATCGATGTATTGTTTAAAATTTGCTTCTTTACAGTAAACAAAGTCGTAGAAATCCACTAGTTAATCGAAATAGGGTTATACATGCTCATCCTGAATTTATTAATGTATTTGACTACCGAGTAGTTTTACTAGCTTAAATTTCGCCATTATTGATCGATTTCTGTACAAACACAGATGACTAATGAAGATAAGGATTCATAAGAGACTAAATATGTTAAAGATCAATTTTGAGTGATGTAGGGTTAAAGTCTAGTGACTATGAACAGTAGACCTAAAATGTTTATACCGTTTACCAATAACGTCCGGAAACTCCTTATATTCCCAACGTTTAACCAATCAATAATTAGATATATAGTCGAATAATATATTTTCCAAACTGATAAAATTCTCTATGTGGAACTGTTCACGAAGTTTTACGTAATCCTAACTGAACCAAAAACAACCAAACAGGTGTTCAATAATTTCCTGTATATATGAATAATCCTATCATATCTTAACATATTTTGAACGTAATAATTAGGTGATATGTACTATTCAACGAAATTTGGCTATATGAATATTTAAAACAGCTAAGTCGAAAGATCAAATAAACAAAGAAATGGGATGAAAGTCATTGTTTTCCTAATGAAACTCATGACATTTCTTTAAATGATCAATTACTAAGTGATTTAATTAGCTTACTTTTTTTAGTATAAACAGATAGAACACGACTTTTATGTGAATAAGACTCTTAAATATGACAAACCAAAGCTAAATTATCAAATAATACTAGATTTATTTTCCAGGTGTTTTGAGCGTTTATACGTATGTCAACATAATTATATTGTTATCAAACAAATTACATGTTTTGAAAATAGTATTATTAGTTGGAAATTATTACAGATATTTCACTGATTATTAGAGATTTTCGGCAGAGTAATGAAACCCTTATGCCGAACAAAACTAGTATCCGAATTCGTTACCTTGTCCGGATCAAAAACAATAATTATAGTTGACGATCGAAATGATTAGTCATATACCAGTCAAAGAATTAATACTTATTAGGAAATGATGAATATTTTAACAGTAACAGATGTCCAAAAAACCGCTTTGTAAGCTATCATGTTACGGACTAGTACTGTTTTTGAATGACTAAATGTTCACGGTGGTACATGTAACTGAGTAGCTAAAGCGACATTGGACTTGTGATTCTCTTTTTAAGACCTGAATATGATAACACCGTTTAAATTCCTATATATCCAGTTACTAATTAAACTATCCATGATGATTACATTTATGCAATGAAGCGGGATTTTCTAAAACTATTATGCAACGTGTTGATTACATACAAAGTACCTCCTTAATATAACAATAAAATGTACAAGTTGTATTATTTCAAACAATCGGCGAACGCAAACAAACAAATAAACAAACAAGTATTTAAGTAACCTTCAAATAAAAATAAACACAATTACTAAATTTAAGAAATAGAATAGCACTTTCTTTCATTTTAACAATAAAGAAATAAAATAAAGTATATTTTATTAAAAAAATAGAAGGTAAATTATAAAACAAATTTGGAACACTGTTAATTCATTTGAACAAATGAAAAGTAAAAATGAAAAGGATTGTCTGTGTACAGAATAACATTTAACTTAAGCAAGCACATATACGTATAATAACATGTGTAATTCGAAGACAAATAATATAACAAGGATAACATAATGACGTATAATATTACACAGTAGGAATCCAGACATAAGACTAAGTATAGTATGAATCGGAATAGGATTAAGCAGAGTTAATGTCATTAATCTATAGACAGTATAAAGTACGGTTGTATTGGGGTATGTGTACACACAAAAAATGACCATATGAGTTATGAAGAAGAAAGATGAACAAAAAACAATTTAGATTATCATAACAACAAGGTGTAAAATCGGGAACTTTCAAATGACAAAGTTAGTCATCAAGATGTTTTAATGGTAATGAAATGGTATGTAATTGAATATTACATAAGAATATAGACAAATTTACGGGGGGAATATCTTATATATACAAGGAATATATATATATATATATATAATTACTACACACAAAAAATGAAAACCTCAAAACATATAATACATCTTTGATCTAATTTGAAAGAATACAAAATATATTCATCTTTATACAATATTATTGTTTGCATAATTTAACAAATTATTAACCAACGATCCTTAATCATTTTCGATAAGCCATGAATCCAGTGTAGACGGACGTATATGTCGAGTTTTATTACGTTTTTGATTGTTCAACTTTGGTTTATTACCAGATATTATATCGCCATGATGAATAGTGTTATTATCACATATATTAGTGTAAGTCTCAAGATGTTTCAATTCAAATGAAGGCAAACCTTGAGAGATGTATATATCTGAAAAACTGTCCACATTTTCTAGATATAATTGCTAGAAAAAGAGAAAAAAAACTATTAAAATATGGAATGAATGAAACAAACTTTAAAAAGTTCCTTCTGAAATTTGTAAATGCTTTTGCACACTGTAACCACTAAATTTTTACAAGAACAAAATTACTAACACTCAATAAACATCAAGAAAACAATGGGAAGATTCGTGTTAATATTAAGAAGGGATAAATTTGTCATTGGTGGTAGGAATTATGATTAAGACGTTGTATTACAGCGTATAAAAAAGCTTTGGAAAACAGGAAAACTGATGTTTCAGTATTTTATTTTTAATCGTTATTATTCCATTTATATGATCTCGACCGTTGTTGCTACCTTGACGTGGTGGTCGAACGTGTCTATCGTAATGAACCAATCAGGTTATATTGGCTGGAACAATTGGTCCTCAAGTTCCTACCATCCCACACAGGCCGGTTGAAGAGCACTAAGAATAAAAGCAACAAATCCGAGGTCCGAAGGCGAAGTCGTACTGCTCACTGTACAGAGGTGTCACAGCAGTGAGGCGTTTCCCTCAGACAACCAGCACGACAGCAGTGCTGCATGAGGGCGGAGCAAGCACTATTAGAGTGCATCCCCGTTAACAGTCGTTTATGTGCTGTTCAGCTAAACGGCTCCGTAAGAATTTGAAAGGATAGGGACACATGTCGTTGCCTTTTTGTCGTTTCTACCTACGCTTTCACTGACTGCAACACTGATAAAGTGAAAGATGAATATTACAGAAAGCTTTCCGAACTTCTTCAGACAGCTAAACCTTCAGATATAGTACTCGTAGCAGGTGACTTTAATGCCCATATAGGTAGTTTAAACCAAACAGAAAGGCATTTAGTTGGATATTTTAGTAATCCGGCACAGCGAACAGATAATGGTGATCGTCTGTTGCAATGGTGTTCAGACAATCGTTTATTTTTAGCAAGCACAAATCTTAAGCATAAGGAGAGAGACATCGTACGTCCGCCAAATTTAGCTGAAGTTCAAAAGGCTGTAGTTAATCTGAAACGAGGAATGGCAGCTGGTCCAGATGATTTTAAGGATGGTGGTCCAATTTCAGAGATCAGGTTGACTAATATTTTGGCTAAGATCTGGGAATTAGACGTTATTCCATCTGACTGGTCACAATCATTTATCGTCCCAATGTATAAAGGTCAAAATCATCCTGTGACAACAATAGCGGGATTAGTTTAACTAATATAGTATCTAAAATACTAGCCTCGATAATTATCGGACACCTAACTAAGACTCGTGAACTGCAAACACGAGAGAATCAAGCTGGCTTCAGACCTGGTCGTGGCTGCATCGACCACATATTAACCATTTGTCAGGTTCTAGAACATAGGCATACTTATCGGCGTCCGACAATCGTAGTCTTTCTGGATTTAAAAGCAGCATTTGACTCGGTAGACCGCGAGATTCTGTGGCAGTGTCTGTCATTGAAACGCGTACCTCAG